CCACTCTGACTGGAGTGAGATGGAATCTTAGAGTGGTTTTGATTTGCATTTCTTCAATTGTTAGAGAGGTTGAACATTTTTTCACATATTTGTTAACTGTATTTCTTCTTCGGTAAAGGGCTTGTTCAATTCTTTTGCTTATTTATTGATTGGGTTATTATTTGGGGGGTTTTTCGGTGTTAAGTTTTTGAGTTCTTTATATGTCCTGTAGATTAATGCTGTGGTAAAGATATTCTCCCATTCTGTAGCTTCTCTTTTCTCATTCCTGATTGTTTCCTTTGCTGTGAAGAAGCTTTTTAGTTTGATATCATCCCATTCATTGGTTTAACTTCTTGCATTTTAGGAGTCTTATTAAGAAAGTCAGTTCCTAAGCTGACATGATGGAGAGTGGGGCCTACTCTTTCTTCTCATAGGCGCAGGGTCTCTGGTCTAATGCCTAGTCTCTGATCCACTTTGAGTTGTGTGCAGGGTGAGAGATTGGGGTCTGATTTCATTTTGTTACATATGGGTTTCCAGTTTTCCCAGCACCATTTGTTGAAGGCTGTCCTTTCTCCAATGTGTGTTCATGGCACCTTTGTCTAGTGGGAGACAACTGTATTCATGTGGGTCTGTCTCTGGCCTCTGTGGTGTCCACTGGTCTTCAGGTCTGCTGGGCGCCAGTACCATGCCTTCTCTGTCACTGAAGCTCTGTGGTCTAACGTGGGGTCTGGGGGCCCTTTCTGTCACTGCAGCTCTGTGGTATGACTTAGGGTCTGAGATCCTTTCTGTCACTGCAGCTCTTTGGTGTGACTTAGGGTCTCGTGTCCCTCTCTGTCACTGCAGCTCTGTGGTATGACTTAGGGTCTGGGGGCCCTCTCTGTCACTGCAGCTCTGTGGTATGACTTAGGGTCCGAGGTCCTCTCTGTCACTGCAGCTCTGTGGTAGGACTTAGGGTCTGAGGTCCTCTCTGTCACTGCAGCTCTGTGGTAGGACTTAGGGTCTCGTGTCCCTCTCTGTCACTGCAGCTCTGTGGTGTGACTTAGGGTCTGGTACTGTGCTGCCTCCTGCTCTCTCTTCCTGCTAACGGTTGCTGGGGTATTCTGAACCTTAGATTTTTACAAGTGAATTTATGACTGCTTTTTGCATTTCTGTAAAGAACATCGTTGGAATTTTAAGCAGAAGTGCATTACATCTGTGTAGTGTCGTTGGTGGTGTGGCCGTTTGGACAATATTGAATCTTCCCCATCCAGGAGTACGGGAGGCCTTCCCATCTCCTAGGATCCTCTTGGGTGTCTGTCCTTGGTGTTGGTAGTTTCCTGGGGAGGTCTTTCACCTCCTGTGTTAGACGGCTTCCCAGGCCGCTGTGTTCGAGGCTATTGTGAATGGGAGAGGCGTGTGAGTGTCTCTGACTCGGCTTCCAGTTTCTGACACCCACGGACATGGCAGCAGTGAAGGGTGAAGGACCCCTGTGGTCTCCTTTTTACTCCTGGTGATTAGATCACCTCGGTTCTAAAGTGTCAAAGGGCAGTGTGAGCGTACTTGGCATCAGAAGACGGGACCTTTGCTTCAGCCCCTGTTACCCAACGCTCACTCCTCGGCTGTCAGCCAGGTAGACGCCATGGACCCAGCCTCCTCCTTCCATCCCCAGATGTGGCACACAAATGATGGACACCGGAGAGTGGGCACTGGCACGGCCAGGCTCCTACTGCTCTGCCAGCAAAGCCGGAGTCCACACACAGTCACCCCCAGTCGCCTTGGGACAGCCAGTGGCAAGCTTGCTGTTTGAGATGCCAAGGGCATTGCTGGGACGATGGCTGTCCTTCAGCGTTTTGTTTAGTTTGTCCCTCGCCAGTGTGTGCAACTCGGCATGGCCAGTTATGTAGCTGCCGTCAGCAGCCTTTCTTCTTCCTTCAGTAGACGCAGTCAGCATGTGCCCATGATGGCCACTGTGAGCCCAGCACTCTTGTGAAGGTGTGACCTGGTGCTGAGAGCTGGGCACTGGGTCCAAGATCCGCCCTGGAGTCTACCGTACTTTCTGGGTGCAGTGGAGAGCACCCTAATGCCACCATGGTGCTGGCCAGCGTCCTGTGACATCCACCATTGCTGCAGTCATGTTTCACAAAGGAGCTCTCATTTTTATATTTTTTCAAGAACCAATGGATGAACTGTTGTAATAGGAAAGGACATCACAACTCACGAAGTCACACCACAGGCTTTCAGGGCACTCATGTCAGTCCCAGGGCTGAACAAAGTCTTTTTTTTTTTTTTTTTTGAGAGAGAGAGAGAGAGAGAGAGAGAGTTTTAATATTTATTTTTCAGTCTTTCAGCGGACACAACATGTTTTTTGGTATGTGGTGCTGAGGATTGAACCCAGGCCGCACACATGCCAGGCGAGTGCGCTACCACTTGAGCCACATCCCCAGCCCCTGAACAGTGTCTTACGTACGGCTCCCTGATCACCCCACTGTTGCCCTAGTGCCATCTGCGTGGACTCCCACATCCTTCACCCCATGGACAGTCTCCCCGGCCACCATCCTGTGTCCCTCGCCCTTGGCCACCCACTGCCAAGCAGCAGGGGTGTGTGTTTCTGGATTTCTGTGCCTCTGTGTTCTGCTCTGCCTATTGCTGACTGCAGGGCCGTGCTTCCTGGTCCTCTCTCCCTCCCCCTGGAGGGAAGCAGTGCCCCCACTGAGGCTCCCAGAAGAGAAAGAGAAGCCCCTGGAATCTACTGTGCAGTGAAGGGGCACCACAGAGGACAGCAGAGGCAGGCAGGGCGCTGGCAGGGGCCGGCTTGGCCAGTGCTTCACGTGCTGTGTGTGGTCTCATCTGCTTCTCACGATGACCTTGGGTGGAGCCGTCATCCCTGCTTCTGTGGAAAAACAGCCCACAGTGATGCTGTTCATGGCAAAGCCAAGGTGGAAGGCAGGCCATCACTCTGTGGTCCCCACTAGGCCACTGCATGGCACCTTCTGAGACCAGCCAGTGGGAGTGACAGTCATGCATCAAGGACAAGGTGGGCCCCAGAGAGCTGGAGCTCTGTGCGCAGAAGTTAGAACCGAGAGGCAGTAGAGCAAGGGTGGGAAAGAACTGTGTTTAACCGAGAGGCAGTAGAGCAAGGGTGGGAAAGAACTGTGTTTAACCGAGAGGCAGTAGAGCAAGGGTGGGAAAGAACTGTGTTTAAGGCGTGGCGAAGCCAGGGCTCATCACCTGAGCCGCGTGAAGGTGACTCACGGCACTAGGCGTCGTCACTGTTCACACCCATTCGACTGAACCCCCGTCTTCCTCCTCCCCGTCCCTGCTGGCCGCCACGCTGCCTCAGCCTGGGGCCCTGTTCTGGGTGCCACCGTCAGTGGCTCTGCAGGGTTGTTGTCTGCCTGGCCTACTTCACTAGTGTCCCTGAAGCCACTGCTGCTTGTGCATTCATCTGCGGGCACACTTGGGTCACTTCCGCCGTCGGCCCTTGGGAGTAGAGCTGCTGTGAACAGCAGCTCTCCAGCCACAGCTTTTGCAACTTTAGGATGTGCGCCCTGGAGTGGCACCCGGATCACGCCCTCTTTCTGTCAGCCTTGAGGAGCCACCAAGCTGTTTCCAGGTGGCTGTGCCCCTTTTCTGTCCCGTGGCAGTGCTGGGTGTCCGCTTCCCAGCCTCACTGACAGTGGCTCAGGTCCACCTGGTTATTCTGAGGGTTGTTGGTATTATACCATCCTTGGGGAGGGACTTCTTAAATGAAACTTCAGGGGTGCCTGTCACACGTCCAGAGTGGGGGTGAATCCAAGTGCCTGGCCCAGGCACTGGCTCGGTTGGACTTGTCTGAACAGAAGCATCTGAAGAACTTTCTGCCCTCCCCTCGGGTGGCCCCAGGAGGTCAGGGGCTGCTGCCCTGGGTGTGCCGGTCACTTGCCCGTCTTGACACTCTTCTCCTCAGGTAGCCATCTGTCTCTGTTTGTGGTTTGTTTTTCCTTAGAACTTCATGGTCTGCACTTCCAGGTGGCTAAGCTTGAGACAGTGAGAACACAAAAGAGTGATGCTGTAATTGTGTAAAACACCCTGGATTAAAATATGTATCCAGGGTCCGTGTTTCCCGTGGAGAGAGAGGCAGGCTTCCCTTGATCTCCACTTCTATCAGAAAGGCAGAATCGCTGTGCACGACTCAGGGGTGGGTCATCATGTGTGATCCTTGGCACATACGCGTGATCCATACATCCTTCCATGAAAGAGCGCCAGGAAACGCACAGGCCATGCTCTCAAAATATCACCCCACAGGCTGCTTTTCGCTTAGGAAGGGACTTGCAGGCCTGTGTGGAGGAGAGACGGCACTCGCCGCTGTCACCGCCCTGAGCACTGCCCAGCGGGCAGCCCAGCAGCTCCTCCCACTGCCAGGCCATCCAGGCGGAGCTTCACCTACCCACCGCATGGTCCAGGCTCGTTCCTCCAAAGCCCCAAGCCTGACCTCAGTTCACAGGAAGCAGGGGTCAAAGAACCCCCTGAACCACAATCAGACCAGTCCGCAGCGTGGACCATTCTGCAAGAAAACTACCTTGGACCTCCCAGAAAGTCCAGGGGGAAAAAGGTGTAGAACTTTTCTAGAAGCAAAATAAATAAAGCAGTTGAGCAGTCAGCGAGCGTGTGACCTTGACTGGATCCTGAGTTGGAAACAACAAGGGCTCTGAATGGCATGGGGGTGTTACGCCTGGAGTGGGTGTCCCGTGGTGTCAGGAAGCAGCTGGTAGTTCTCTGGATGTCACTCTAGATTAGGGAGATATGTGCAAGTGCACCTAAGGGTCCAATGTCTGGGTGCTTACAATTTATTTTCAGTGATTTTGTCGAGAGAGAGGGGGCAAATTTAAGAGCATGTAAATAATTGTGAAATCAAGCTGGAGGACATAGCGGCAGTCATCATATCGCTTTGAGTCTTGTGTATGTTTGAAAACGGGAACGACGACTTTATGTAGTACTTGGCGCTCCGTGTTCCTCTGAACTCCAAGTCCACCTCTTGAAAGCCCTTTGCCTCTGTTCTGCAGTCCGGGACCGGGTGAGGTCGAAGATGGAGAGAGACATCCTGGCAGAGGTGAACCACCCCTTCATCGTGAAGCTGCACTACGGTAAGTGGGGCATCAGCCGACACACCTGAGAGGTCTGGGGCAGCCGAAGGAACGGCAGATCAGACAGAGGAAAGCCTTCCCGGTGTCGTAGGCACTTCCCTGTCACAGATGCAGCCATCCAAGTCCCAACCCTCGATCTTCTTTGAGTTTTTTTCTCCTAAGACATAGATGCCCTGTTTTCATTCCAAAGCTGTCCATGATTATTAAACTGTCACCATTGACAGTCGGCTCCAAGGTCTGACCTACACTGGGATGAACCACAGCACGTTTGTGTCGTAGTTTGTGAACCAGTGGTTTGTTTAAGCCACAAGTGTTCACACCACCTTTGAAGCAGATGCTGTGTTTCAAGCCTCCTAGAGACAGGGGCCCCTGCGCCCTCAGAAGCACCCCTCGGGCAGGCAGGCGGTCATTGCATCTTCTGAGGCTCGGGTCAAGTAAGCTGCTGGAGGCCGTGCCCACTTTGCACGCAGCGCCTCTCCACGTGCTCTCTGCCCTGCGTCTCCTCAGAGGAGCCGTGAGTGAAAACTTCAAATCAAAATGACCTGAAGTCGTGGTGACTTGAAGTCACGCCGCACCACACCCCTCTGATGATTACGTGAACAGAGTGCAGCAAAGAGCAGCCAAGCTGGTCCCTTGCCGCTGGCTTCAGGGCTCCAGGGCAGGCGTGTGAGGGAACAAGTGAGGCCCGTGCACATTGGAAGCAAAGGTGTGACCATCAGGACAGGGTGAGGCAACTCCCAGCTCTTCCCAGGCTGATTCCTGGTAATACTCCGAAGGCCGTCCAGTCCTGTGTGCAAGTCACGTGGCCCGTCCATTCAGAAATAGTGAAACCCAGCATGCACTGTGGACCCAGAGAGGCCAGGGGACCCCTGCTCCCTCTGGACTGTGGGCAGCTCCAGCTCTGATGTCCCCTGTGCGGTGGGCAAGGTGGGACAGGCTGGCCTTCTCCCTCCCACCCCCACTGCTGCCGATGGGCTGGGGTCAGGTCCCATCCACCTGCCACTTGAGACGGCCCCCAGGGATACTTCTGGAGAGATTTAGAAATGGGCATCTTGCAGAAGCTTCTCAGCAGGCCCTCTGCATTACACCCCTGTTGTCCATCACAAGACCAGCCACTTCCTCAGATGAAACTAAAATCCTAAAATCCACACTTCAGCTTTCACAGTTCCAACAAAGTGTCCTCCAGCTAGAGCCTGTGACTCGAAAGCCCTCCATGATGATGCTTCTGGCATTGACTTCTAGAAAATCAAAGGCTTTCGGGCGCAGAGATCTCAGGACCCCTTCCGGCTGTACTTGCAGTGTGTATAAACAGATGCCAATGACAGCCCTCCCTAGACTGGACTGGCTGTCGCAGCCAGTAGCCTCTCACTGACTCCAACCTGGCTGTCGCAGCCTCTCACTAACCTGGACTAGTGTCCATGGGTGGTCCCTCCTTAACCTGGCCTGGCCTTCACAGTGAACCGACCCTCCCGAACCTGGGCCTGCAGTCACAGCAGTAGTAATGGTGGCTGGTTCTTCCAGACCCTCCAGTGTCCACTCCTTCCTGCTGACCACTGAGCATGGACAGGAGCTATGTGGACACTCTGTGGCCTGAAACAAATCTAAAATTGTCAGGCATAGCAACCAAACTGAGGACAGAAGCCCTAGTCACAACACAAATAGGGTGACCAGTCACCAGCACTGCCATAAAAGAAGTCGGAGGCTGGTCCGCTGCACTGAGCGCGGGAGTGTGGCTGTGGTGGTCGGAGCCCTGCTCGCCTGCCCAGCCAGCCCACAGAGTTCCCGTCTGAAGACCCAGCTGCAAGCCAGGCCTGTCGCTAGTGGCGGTGGGAGGGCAGGCTGGATGTGTAGGTGCCTTTCCCTCTGAACCCCCACTTCCCCCCGTGATTGAGGAGGCGAAGGAAAGGAGGGAGGGAGAGAAGCGTCTCAAGACCTACAAAACTGGGACCAGAATGTGGTGTCCTGCCCCCTTCCCTGGGCTCCCCTGCGCTTCTGAGTGACAGCCTGCAGGTTAAGTAGACATGTTTGGCAAGAGAAGCTGGGAACTGGAAAGTGACCGTGGCAGAGAGAGCAGAGTCCACCCCTGCAGCTCTCAGCCGTGTCTCCCCCACAGCCTTTCAGACGGAAGGAAAGCTCTACCTGATCCTGGACTTCCTGCGGGGAGGCGATCTCTTCACCCGGCTGTCCAAAGAGGTGGGCTTCCCTCCGCGAATCCCCTCCGCCAACGTCTGTCTGGGAGGGAAAGAGAGGAGGCAGGGGGTGCCGCGGGGGTGCTGGGTGTGCTTGGTGGGGGGTATGTGTGTGGGGTGTGCATGATGCTTGGTGTGTGTGTGCTGTGTGAGTGTGGGGTGTGCGTTAAGTGTGTGGGAGGGTATTGGTTGTTGTTCAGAGCCCACCAAGCTGCAGGAGGGCTTTGTCCTTGGAAGGTCCTGGGAACAGGGTTTCTCCAGAGATCCTATGGAGCTCTGAAGCCTCGGCCCACCACTAACTGTCCAGGTGGAGCAGCTGGAAGCCCATGGCTAGTTGAAGGTGACAGTTGGGACACATGGTGGCTCCTGCTTTCATCCTGGGAGGACGTAGTCAGCTCAGCGTGCCCTGTCCTCTGGGGCAGGCCTTCCATGCAGTCTGCTCAGGAGCATCTGGTCAGGTCTGCACACGCTGCCTGAGTCCCGTGAGCTTTCCCAACCCCAGAGTCTACTTTGACCTCCAGCACCTCCGATAGGCGTGTTCCAGAATGCTGCTCAGGGTACCAGGGAGGCACTAGGGCCCTCATGACTGGAGGGTGCTGAGCTCTACAGAGGGAGAAAGCCAGAATGCTGCCCAGGTCAGTGGTAGTGACAGAGGGGGGCTGCCGACAGGGAGAGAGCCCTGCTGGAGGGAGACGGGATCTACCAGCATGAGCTGCCCCTCCCATTCCTTCAGTTAGAAAGCAAAACCGCCAGCGTGTGCTTGTCCCTGATCAGCTAGAACAAAAGCATTGAAATGTCACCAGGCTCCGAGACCCACACCATGTGCCCACACCTGACTCATGGCCAGATGGCTTAGCCAGGAGGAACGTTCTGAACCCAAATGCCCAAGGACGGACACAGCACTTGATTTCACCACAGCTCACCTGAAAGCCTGCCGCTTCTCCCCAGGAAGAACAAAAGGCAACAGTAATTACCAAGAACCCTGAACAAAGGGGTGTGACAATGTGACCGTGAGAGCATAACGGGCTCTACAGGGGAGTAGGAAGAAGTGTGTGGGATGCATACACCCATACTTGGAGTCTTCCTTCCAGAGCCCTGGACAGCATCCTGCCACCTGCAGGTCACCTTAACTGCCTCTAAGATGCTCACAGGCATGAGGTGGTTACTTGTCATCGAGATGTGCCCTAAGACTTGGACGGCAGAGCTGTGTAGCCACCCTGAGTACCAAAGTGCATGCTCGCCACAGTGGCCAGTCCTCAGCTAGACAGGTTCAGTGGGGGGAGAACGTGACGGTGGCAGAGGCTGAATGAGCCAGCCCAGTGGTTGTGTCATGCAGTGCAGAGAAGAGCACCCAGCCAGGAAAGGCACTGGTCACCCTGGGAGGGGGATGGGCTTCGTGACTGCAGAGCAGCAGGGCTGGCGGCACCTGGCAGGCACCTGCAGAAGTCTGCAGCCCTGACTGGAAGTGTCCCTTAGGGAGCCGAGGACCTTCTTGGCCTATGTCACCCTTGCCTCTAGTCTCCTACTGCCCTCATTCTGATTCCGTGTGCACCAGGAACCCTGCTGCATACGGACCTGCCTTTCAGGGGTGTAGGCCTTGGTGGAAGGTGGGCAGGGCTCAGTACAGTCTGAAAGTTTCCAATACAGTTTCAGGGAGAAAGCAGTAATGTGGACCTCAGTCTCCGCAGCACTCATTTCTCGTGGGGAACTTACACGATGGTTTGTGATAAGGGTTCGGCTTCCCACTGATGCGACTACAAAAGCCTGTTCTAATACCTGGCGGCTAGATTGGTGGTCCCAGGCCTCCTACACAGTTTAGCTGGCCTGAATGAGGTTCTAGACACTCAGGAAACACTTAGGGCGTCCCAGTTGGGTCAGTGCCAAGCCTGGGCTGCGCCAGCCACTAGAGAGCCAGGAGCATGGCTGCCACCCCTGACGCGTACGAGCCCTCTCCCTCAGGCTCCTGGGTGAGAAGAAGCACGTGTGTGCACTTGGTAGCACTAACCCCTCGGGCAGCATTTGCATCAGCCCAAGCGGGAAGACACAAGGTGAAAGGGAGAGAGATGAGGTGGAGACCGTTTCCCACTCCTCACCTGACCTTCACAGGAAGGCTTGGTTATTTATTGAGAAACACTCATATTAAAATATAAACCCAGAGAAACTCTGCGGGGCTGGGTGATTTGTGGGGTGAGGAGGTCAGGCTGGGAGGAAGGAGCTGCGTCAAGGGTTTGCCACGATGCTGCTGTCCTCCGTGCCTTGAGACCATGAGCAGAGCTCACCTTCCCACTGGAAAGCCAGAGAGTGCTGGGGGAGCCCAGGACTGGCACACGGGAGCCTTCTGGGATGGGTGCTGCTCTCCCTGGTGGGGTGCAAAACCAGCAGCTGTGCAGCAGGCAGGACGTCTCTTCTCCTTCTCACTAGGTGATGTTCACAGAGGAGGATGTCAAGTTCTACTTGGCTGAGCTGGCCTTGGCCCTGGACCACCTGCACGGCCTGGGGATCATCTACAGGGACCTGAAGCCCGAGAAGTGAGTGGGACCCAGCGGGTCTGAGTGGCTGTCAGTTGGTGTTCTCCCCAGGGGTGCATTCCACACAGCGGTCTAGGGACGGTCTCTCGCTGGCCCTTCCCACACTGGAATCCCAAGTGGGGTGAACAGATGCCACCTCCCCGCCTGCAAAGGGGCACAGCTACTCGTGGGGCCCCGCTGGTTTTTGTAGGAAGTTCCTAGGCCCATTTGCACCTGATCCTCACCAGAACCGAGGGAGGCCCAGGTTCACGTCCAGGCTGCACAGGTGGGGCTGGCCAGGTGGAGGTAAGCCCACAACTCTGCTTTCCTGCCCAGTCCCCCAGCAGGGCGCCTCTGCCCTGAGGAGCCTCAGACAGGCCTGGCCCTACCCTCCCCCTCCACTGGGCTCCGCTCAGGGAGCCCTTTCCTCTACTACCCAGAGCCCAGGGCCCATGGTCCAGTGGCTCCTCTTGGAAGTGGGCCCTTTTCTAGGTGAAAGCTTAGCTTTCCCGAGAGCTCACCCAAGAGACGGTGGCCCCGAATAACCAGGCCAAGATCCCGCTAAGATTTGTGGTCTTCTGTGATGACGATGATCTTTCATGTTATTATTATAGGTAATTTGCTAATCCAGTCTGAATTTAACCACTAGCGTCCTTCCCAGGTCTTTTCTCATGTGTGCTGTTTGGAGCTGACTCAGAGCTGTCAGCTCCAAGTGGCCCTTTTAGAGGACACACCAGTAGTTGTGCCTGAGAAAACCATGGTCTCCCATGTTTTTCTCCCTCTCACCTGTGAGGCTGAGCAGCATAGCCCAGAGCTGTGTCACTTGGTGAGGCCACAGCCCATGCCCTGAGGCCCCCAGCTCAGGAGTGGGCACAAGCCCCTGCTCCTCGTTCCCATTCTCACCTGCCCTGAACTGAGAGAGCCCAGCTCTTCTGAAGTCTGCTTTTTTAGACAGGGCTGTCTCTGTGGGGGCTGTTGAGCACACCTGCCCGGGTGTACACTGCAAGGCTCTGACTTACTCCCGGTCAGCACAATCTTACTGGCCATGCTGTAAAAACATCTGCAGATGACCATAGAAGGCCCTGTCCTGAGTAGTCCACAGGAGGAGCAATGGCTCTTGACCACCCCGTCTCCTCACGCAGCAGATGCAGGAGACCATGCTGCCATCTCAGAGCCAAGTTGACTGTGTGCCCCACAGTGCACTGTACCCTGGGCCCCCCTTCTGACATCCCTGGTCGGGAGGTGACAGCAGGAGCCTGGCCTGTCCCTTCAAGTTAACCTCACTTAATTGCCCTCTGGCTTGTGAGCGTGCAGTTCTCAATGTCTATGCTGACAGCCACAATGGACCCCTGTGAGCACCAAGCCTGCGTACTTGTCCAGGCAGGGAGAGCGGCTCTTGGTCTTTTCTGAAGGACACAGAGATCCCTACAGCTGAAAACAGTGATGTTTAATTGCCGGGTGAAGAAGGCTTTGCTGTTCAATTAGAATTACTAGGGACTGAATCTTGAAAGTTGCTTAATTCTGAGCCAAGATGGCGTACAACCAAAAAGCAAAGACAAAAACATTTGCTTCCTTAATCATAGCAGATCATCTTGGTTCACGTGCTGCACCTTTCCCTTTGCATTACCACGCACAGCAGCTGTTCTCTGACTCCATGGCAGATTTTCCCCGCTGTGTTAACATACAGACAACATGAGATTGGCCACCTTACCCTGGCTTTGTGCCAAGTTTGGTGGCACCAGGCACATTTCCTGTGTTGTGCTGCCATTGCCAGCACCCATCTCCAGGGCTCCAATCACCCCACAGAGCTGTAACTGTCCCCACTACTCACTAACCCACAGCCCTCTGTCCACCCCTGGTAGTCGCCGTTCTACTTTCTGTCTCTGAATTTGGTGACTCAAGGGACTGGAATCGCACAGCGCTTTGTCTTCGTGACTGGAGACTTCATGCAGCAGAGTGTCCTCAAGATTCGTCCTTGCAGTGGCCTGGGCAGTTTCCTTCCTTTTCAGGTTGATGTCACTTGTGTGTGACATCTTTTGTTTCTAGCTCACTTCCAGTCTCATTAGGGCTGGGCTGCCACCTCCCAGGACCTCTAGGAACAGGATTTAATGACAGTCCAAAAAGTAGAGAGGGAGGTTGGAGTGACGGGTCTCAAGATGTCAGCCCTGGACTCCAGCTGCTGTCCCAGGGAGGGGGGCTCCTTGGTGGCCCAGGGCCCCACTCGCAGCCCACCTCCACTCCCTACAGTGAAGCACACTGTGCCTGAGCAGGGCCACTGTGACCAGCAGACAACTTTCAACTCATGGTGTGACCGGGGCTGGATGAGAATGAGATGGGCCAGCGGCTCACAGGGTGCCAAGCTGACACCAGTTCTTGTCACAAGATAAAGCTGGGGAACCCCAGGATCTGAGGCCCACACTTGTGCACAAGACCCATTAGAGGCTGGGTCCCAAGAGCTGGAACCAGGTCCCTGTGAGCCCAGGTATTCCTGGAACCTTCTCTTCCACATGCAGAACAGGTAGAAAGTTCCAGCCACTCCTGGGTCTCAACAAGATCTAAACCCTGCAGACCCCAGGCTCACACATGGGCTCCAACTGCTCTCCTGAGCTGGCAGGCGTGGGCAGGAATGGGCAGGGAGGTGGCCGTCCGAGGACCTGCGTCGTCCGCAGGTGCTACCCTCTGGCTGGTGCTGGTTGCAGATGCCCAAGCTAACAGGGGTGACAGCCAGCATCTCACTGGGGGGTTCTTCTTCCTGCCAAGGAGGGTATAAGCCACCTGAAAACTTACAGTCAAGATAATTAGTGAAGAACACAATACAAAGAGTCGGAAATATATTTACAAAAGCGGAGCACTGGATATGATCCAGTCCACACAAGAGCTGGAACTAGACAAAGGAAAGGTGGCTCCGGAGGTTTATTTAAGGGGTACATCAAAGGCAGGGGTAAGGTTTCAAGGGCAGAGCCTTGCGTGATGTCTTGAAGTCGGCAGGATGATTGGCATCTTAGCAGGTCACACCCATCTCGGGTGCTGTGTGGTACCTGGTGGAGCAGGATAGAAATTCACAGTGTCCCTGGACAATTGGCCAGAGAAAACGTCCACTGGTCATTCCCAGACACCAGATGTTTCTATCCACCAGGCTTTGTTGTGCGGTGACCCACACGCCACCCATGGATGGCTTGTGACACCGAGCCACCCTGGGCTGGGCTCTGCAGGCCACTGAGATGCTCTTGCTAAGGCCTTGGCTTTCTCTCCTTTTCTTTCAGCATCCTCCTGGATGAAGAGGGACACATCAAGATCACAGGTTTGTAAGAGACCATTTCCCTTGGTGGCTTCATCTCAGCCCCGGCAAATCAGGGACCTCCTCCAAGTCTCGGCCCTCACCTCCTCACATGTTAATTCGCCAAACGCTAGTCTCTGATCCGACTGAATTTTTCATGGACTTGGGCTGTTGTGCCCCTCACAGGGTCGGGAAGGTTGAGACTCCCAGGCTGTCTTGGCCCCTCCCCGTCCCCTGCCTGAGCTGCCTTCAGGGCCTGCCTCAGCTCATGGCAGTCTAGGTGGAGAGCTGGAGCTAGCGCTGACCAGGCCGAGCCTCCATGCAGTGTGCCAGTCCTGCAGCCCCACGGTGGCCTCAGCAGGCTGCACTGTGTCCCCGGCCCAGAGCGCGAGGTCCCCATGGTGCAGCACATGTCTGTCAGCCCCAGGTCCCCTGACCTGCAGTCAGAGCGCGAGGTCCCCATGGTGCAGCACGTGTCTGTCAGCCCCAGGTCCCCTGACCTGCAG